CCCCAAAACCCCAAAACCCCAAAACCCCAAAACCCCGAATCACTCTTATAGTTAAATTAGAGGAGTATCAAAAAATAAGATAATAATAATAATCATCTATATTGCACTCATTTAAATGTAAGTCACTTTCAAGTTAACTTATGAAATTCTGATTTAGGATATAATTTGAGTTACCAAAGATCAGAGAAGGTCTAGTATTCAGGCCCACAAAGGAAGAATTCAAGGATTTTTAATCATACATGGAAAAATGTGACAAAGAAGCTGGAGATCATGCTATTTTTAAAGTAAGTAATAGATCAAGACTTTGACCAAAGATAGCAAAATTAGTTGTTTAGTTTCAAAAAATATATTTAATTCAGTTACTAATTAACAATTGCAGGTAATACCACCCCCAGGATTTAAAGCAAGAAGATAAGGCTATGATAATCTTGATTTGACAGTCAAAAGTAATATCTAAATCGTAGCTAGTGCAAATTTATCAATATTTATAGAACCAATCGAATAAAATGTCCACGGCAATAAGGGAGTCTATGAATTAGTATACTTTGTAAAGGAAAGCAAGTCTTTCTAGAGATTCAAAAAATATGCTACTCAATATGATTAGTTAACAGATGGAAAATCTGATGAAGAAGTAGAGAGACTGGTAAGTTTAACTTCATTTTTGCAATTTTAACTAGTTTTGGAAAAACTTGAAGCATAGTTCTCCTATTTACGGAGCTGATGTGGCTGGCTCTCTATTTGATAAGAATGTAGACTGGAACCTTTCTAAAATTGATTCAGTTTTGACGTAATTTTATATATTTAATTGCTTAGTTAAGGATTGGGAGATCATCAAATTCAAGGAGTGAACACACCTTACATTTATGTCGGTTCTTGGAAGACCATGTTTGGTTGGCATAAAGAAGACATGGATTTGTAATCCATAAACTATCTTCACTAAGGCAAACCCAAGTTTTGGTATGGCATAAGTATCGAAGATAATGAGAAATTTGAAAATTTCCTGAAATCAAGATTGCCAGAGTACTTCAAGGAATGTCCAGAATATATCAGGCATAAGACCACTCTAATCCATCCATAACTACTTTTGGACAATGGAATTAGAGTAACAAAACTTGTTCACAGATAAGGAGAATATATGATTACGAGAGCATCAGGTTATCATTCAGGATTTAACTATGGTTTTAACATAGCTGAAGCAGTCAACTTTGCAGTTCCATCCTGGCTTGAGATTGGCAACAAAGTTCAGACCTGCAAATGTGTTAAGGACAGTGTGTAATTTAACATGGGAAATTTCATGCTAAATGTTGAGAGATCTGAATTCATTAAGAAGCTCTAGAAAAACAGAGCTTCGAAAATTAAGGCAGTCGAATTCGAAAAGAATCTAAAGAGATACGGACAGAGTGAAAACCTTCATTCATTCAAGAACACTCCTTAAAACATAAAAGTTATTCCCCCAAGAAGGGCCAATAGCTTTACATCATCTCCAATTAGAATCAGATCTTCCACAAGTCTTGAAAAGATAGCTGAGAAGCATGAGGAAGTAAAAAGCAAGTTATCTGACAAAGTATAGAAGAGAACGTTGGTATGCAACTTATGCCAGAAATCTAGGAAAATTGCAAGGGGTCTTACTTAACTATAACAGTCAAGTTTTGAATGCAGGCAACTGAAGAACAAGATAATAAAATGCTTGAAAATTGGAAGGAAGAGAGACTAGAAGTACAGCTAGAAAGAATCTTAGTAGGCTAATTCAGCTACTACTAAATCTTCATAGTCATCTAGTTCAAGATCTAAGAGCATTAAAAGGGTTGAGATTAAGAAAAAAACTGCTAGGAGAGGAGCTTAGCCTACTACTCCCAGATAAAAAGGAATATTGTAGAATTAGAGGGTAAGAAGAGACTGAGTTGAGTATTTTCAAGTTTTTGTATGATTTCTACTAATTTTTAAATATTAATATTTTAATGATATTTATAATAATTTGATAAACATGGAATTAATAGTTTGGTATACAATCTTTGTCATCATAGGAACAACCCTTTATTATCTATTCTTTTACAGTAGTAACAACAACTAATAGTAGAATAATCAGAGAGTGTAAAATCAAGATCAACAAAATTAGAGAGCATTTGATTATCTGCAGCAAATTCAATAGTAATAGCAGTAGAAAAAAAATCTGAGGAGAATTAGCATTTCAACTAATGAGTTACTTTTAGACTCCAATTTTAATTTGATAACAGATATGTACGAATTACTAAGAGCAATCAAGGATAAATACAGAATATATTTAATGACATTAGTGGATTAGGATAACAAGGAGATAGGGGCTTACAAAAAAGCTAGGGAAATTCTATAGAAGCTTATTGATGAGGGTATTATTCAAGAGCAGAGATCAATGTACTGCACAACTAAAACTGGACAAATAGCTTAGATCAGGCAATTAGGCTCAGAGCTGCATATCGAGAGTGACATAGAAGTTATTGAAAATTTGCATCAGCATCTCAGCAAATTTCATTTAATATACCCTTAGAAGTCTTAATACGATACTGGTCTACTCAAGAAAATAGAGGAATTTGTAAGAACATCGACTAAGGTTATGTTCTTCACCGATATCAAGGTAATAATATTCTCAGCTAAATCATATTCTATAGAGTTACACTGAGAGGATAAAGGCAGCCTTAAGCAAATGATTAAAATCATAATATATCTTTAGCATTAATTTTTATCGTGTTTGTGCCACGGGGTTTTGGGGTTTTGGGGTTTTGGGGTTTTGGGG